TATAAAGAACAGAATGCAAACTTTTAAAAGAGGCAAATAACTTTCAGATATGATTCTCAGAAAGATAATTTAGTAAAGAAAATTTCTGCTCGAAAGAAATTCATACACTAATTTTATAACACATTTAGAATAAAAGTAAGGAATTCACATGCAGTTTCGTAGTTCTAGATTCAGGAAATTAACTCTTACCTTTCAAATTAAGAGCAGACTACATTCTATTTCAGATCTGATAACAATGAAAATGCTTCATTAAAGGGTTTTTACATATTAACAGGGGTTAATTACTGAACAATCATTCAAAATCAGGCAAAAAAGGAACCCGTGTCATAGATTTAAAATTAGACAAAAAAGAAGCCTCCGCTTGTCATTGATTTTAAACACAGCTATCGATTTTGATTTTTAAGCTCCAAACAGAGGAACTTATCTCTAACCATCCTTGAAATCAATATCGTTTTACTTTGATATACTTTGATTTTAATTAATACAGAGGGTATTCACACATTTTTGTAATGATTCTGATCTTCTCCATGAATTTAAATATTAAATTTAAAATACAAATGTGACAGGCATCAAACTGGAATAAGGTTTAATTATCGTCTGCAGCATTAAAAATATTCTCTTTTTTTTAAATGGCACTGAAAAATAAACAACGGATCAAAAGCTATAATTTTACGATGTAAAATAAGTGACATAATTAATATGAAAGGAAGAAACATCAAAGTTTACATCTGACTGGAAAAAAGGCAAAAAATGCATACCCAACAAAGGTGCGTACAGCTCTTACTAAATCTAAAGTCGCATCTCGTGTTTTAAAAGATAATCCAGCCCCCCCCCAATAGCTATTGCAAAATCTTTAAATATCTCTGTAGGAACTGAGAACAAAATTATAAAACATGGTTCTCTGCATGAGACTATGTGCAAATTGCTGTATGAAAATTATTTGGCAGGAGAAAAAATCGAGATATATAGTTACAATTGACAAGGCTTGGATATACTTATCTAATTTCAATAGAAAATGATCGATTTACTGTCGAAAAAGTGGAGAAAGACTTAATATGTTGGTTAAGAGAAAACAAGGAAAGTTTTCTAAAGGTTTTATGGTTATTACGGGATTCTCTTAAAATAAGGAAAGGAAAGGAATAAAAAATAAGGAAAGTAGGAAAAAATGTGAAATTTAATTCGGATTACTATCAGAAATATGTTTCAACACCTATTTTTAAAGAAGAAATTCCATCTCTTTATGCAAACAAACTCCACTGTGTCAAAGTCCATCAGGATAAGGCTCCAAGACAAACCTCTCAGTCTGCTGCTCTATTTTTTGAAAAAAGGAGAAATGAAACCTGAATTGAATCTATTCCCTTTAAATGCATCACACCCAAGTCCCCCCCCCTGATGTGTCTGCTATGGATTACTATGCATCTGGACTTTTAAAACAAGCTCTTTATAAGCAACATCCCAAAACACTGGATGGACTCTGGAAGATTGTGAAGGAGATGTGAAACAAAATCAACCTTGATGTTTTAAGAAAAGGACTTTTATCTTGGAAATCAAGATGTAATATGATAACTAGAGAAAAGAGCTATCAGACTAAACATATTAGAAAATAAAATTCTAAGGCTTGTTTATACAGTACAAAGTCCATAATCCGGACTCGTCGGAACTTCAGCTATTCCGGAATAGGGGTTTTTCCAGATTATAGATCATCAATTTAAATCTGGTAAGATGGCATGCAGAAATTATACAATTAAAATATGAAACCATAATTTATGAAATAAAGAGCAATTGTGATCTAAACGGTATCAAAATTTATAAAAAATATAGCTTAATATTTATTTGTTTACTTTATTAAACATTTCTTTCCCTGTAAATGGTTTAAGTTGCTTCGTTTATTGTGCTAATACTTTCTCTTTAATTCTATAAACAGACATAATTTCTTCTTCAGTTACAAAGTTCCACTGTTCAAGTCTTGTTAATTGCTGTGTCGAGAGTACCCACTAACTTGTCGATCGAAATTTTTTCGTTTTCAATAACCTCCTCTCTGTCACTTTCTTCACTACCGGAAGCAGTATTTTCTGGATCTAGAACCATACTACAGATTTCGCTGTCCATTAATTGATTGAAGATTGGGGCATTGTCGTCGCAATGAAAAACTTGTTATATCATCTTCATTTATTACCGCTTTTCCACATTTCTTTACAAAATCCAATAACTGGAAAAATTCACCATTAGTTTGCGATGTCCGAAAACCTTGAAATTCGCGGCTATCATCTTTATCATCCTCACCATGAAATATGGGAGCTGGCCATAAATTATGCCAAGCATTTTTTAACTTATCTAGAGACACATCCTCCCAACGTGCATGCACATGTGTAAACGTGCATTAACGTGCATGCGTAAAGCATACAAAAATAAGTTTGCGGCTTTGAGGTCCGGATTACAGATCATTCCGGATAATGGACGTCTGGATTACGGACTTTGTACTGTATATAAATCTTTACAAAATCGTTACAAAAATATGTGAACACCCTTCATTATGTCCCTCTAAACCTAATGAATTTTTTAATGATTTGAAACCTGCGAAATTATAAAACTTGCATAACCTCTGGCCCCAATTTGATATGCGTCTGACCTTTTACTGTAATCATTTGGAAAAAATAATTCACAGAACTACTATATTTTATAAGACATAAACTTTAACACTTCATTTACTTCTGGAGTGACATAAATAGAGGTATTGGGGTTGATAGAAATTTCATATAAAATCACCAGATAAATGAGCATGCAGTGGCATCGCCAAATAGGCGATATGAACTGAAAACGATACAGAAAGCTGCCAACTGGTGAAAACCAGTTTAAACCTGTATGGCTGTATGGTTGCCATTACGGCTGTATTGGTTGCCATATGGCAACCACATAGGCAACATGTTACAACATTAAAGGCTGACGGAGAGGAAAGAGTTTCTTTCCGGCAGTCTGTGCTTCACTGGGATATGCAAACCTCAGTCTGTGTAGGGCCGTTCGCTGTCTTTCATAAGCCATTATAATGAATCCGACTATAGCAACTACATTATAGTTTCTTATGAAATTTGATTATTAATTGCTATAAATTCTAATTAAAATAAAATTTTAAGGTTTGTTTATATATAAATCTTCGCTAAATCATTACAAAAATGTTTGAGCACCCTCTGTATATATGATGTATGAATGCAAGTCTAAAGGTGAAGCATACTAGAGCAGAAAGTTTATTTTGCTGATTTCTGTTTTCCACTATTTTCTGCAGTTTGATGGATGACTATGCTCTGAAGCAGTCAATTTTCAGAGGTAAAAACCTATATCTGCAACATTAACAAGGCTATGTAACACCACAACATACAATATAGCAGTCAGCAGTAATATATGAAATACAAATTAACATTTTATTTCAATACTTTTTTTAAATATCAGATCAAAGTTTTTCATTTATTTTAAAATTATTTTAAGTTTAGACATTAGCAGAACATGGCGAAAAAATTAAAAGCAATTTTAAAATGCATCAGACAATTAAAATTGCACTTTCAATTCCGTATAAAAGTTCAAAAATGTACTTTACCCTTATTTCACACAGAAACACATAGAAAATTTTGAACATATCAGAGAAGTGAAACAGCTTTAAACCAATATAAAACTTTGTAAAAACTTTAGCAGGTCTAAAAATAAAAAAAGGTTTGGTATGAATGGCTTTCACAGAATATTATGCAGCTGTTATTTACAAAAACTAGCTGTTATTCAGTTATTATTTAAAAAAATATTTAAAATTTTCATTAACTTATGTGTTTAGCTGACAAAACTGGAAAACATAACTGTAGTAACTTATTTTTTACAAGAGAGTAATTATAGTTACTAAAAATAACACATGCAGTATCCAGTGAAAGTTTCAAAATGGTTTGCATACTTTTTTTTTTTTTTTTTTTTTTTTTTACACATACATGTAAAACCTAAAAATCCATCAAGACTATATACATTATACACCATCCTGATTGGTACAGTTATTAGTGATGTTGGCTGCCAAACTGTTCGGCTGAGTTTAAATCCTGGAGACTTATTGCTTGTATACTGCTTTTGCTGCATGGACACATTTAAAATACACTAGAAGCCAAAAGTCTCAAGAGGTTTGGTGGTGAGGTAAGAGGGTGAGAGTTTATTGGATCTATCCCCAAGGGTATTTTCCTTCAATATAGGGACACTGCTAGGCAAGGTTATGCTATCAACTATACAGTGCCCAAGGCTCATGCAAATGGCAGATACAATCCTACACTCCTCGCCATGATAAAATTCAGGGATTTGTTCTGAGGTCACAGACAAGCGAGATATATCACAACAAAATTATATTTACCTACAGAAACATATGAATTTTATTTTACAACACTTACTAATTCAATATTGACCTGGAGATTAAATTTCAGAATATATGGTACAAAAATATGAAGCTGGAGAAAAGTAAAACAGATAATGAATAAAATAACCACTTTAATTTCGTAAAATGCCACTTTAATTTCATTAACAAGCTATACACATTAATATTCAAGCTAAATTGGAGAAGTCAAAAAAGAATCAGCATTAAATTAGTAAATTTTCACAGGACTAATTTCTATGGTTTAATTACCGAACCTTTTTCCTCAGCTGCCAAAGTGCAAATGTTGTTAATTTGGTGTGTTATTTTAAACTAAATTCAAGTTTGATTCAAATAATTGCCTAATAATTTCATAAATGAGATATTCAGATTAATATTCAAGTTAAATTAATTGCTGAAAAATTTCATAAATCAGTCACTCAGATTAATATTCAAGTTTAATTCAATTAACTGCTGAATACCTGACCAAACATAACAATACCCCTGAGATAAACACTCAGTTTGGCATAAATAATTAGGTTTTCAAAACAATTAACTCTCCAAATAAAGAATACAAAAATAAATGCACTGTCCCAAAAAAATGAAGTATCATTTGAAGTAAATACTATACCTGGTGAGCATCGGTACATGGAATGATGTAAGCTTGCAGAGGATCAGTCACATAATTAGTGTTTTTTAACAGAGCTCTCATTCTCTTTAACAAAACACCAGTATTTTTCATTGCCATGTCCAAAGGTTCTGAAGTTGATGCACCTTATTAAAAATGGTAATGTCGAGAAATGTACAATAATTATCAATAATAAAAATAACATAAAAGAATACAACCAAAAATATGTTATTTTCAAAACCACTCGTGCTGATTTCCCAGGTAAAAATTAATTCTTGTTCAAAATTATCATAAAAATATTTCACTATTTTTAACATAAAATATTCATTAATCAGAAGAAGTTCAGTAAATATATGATTTTAAGACAATACTACTAATTTCGTAAGGTTATGAAAATCTGCAAGAACTTACTTTTAAGAAATCTATTTCATAAATTCTGCAGTTCCAGCTTTCAGCAAACAGGATTCTAAGGAAACACGCATGCAAAGCAACCACTTCTGATGATGTAAATTTCCTACAATTTAGCAACAATCACAAAAAGAAATATCAAGCAAGCTGCATGCTCCATTAACCAATAAAGCTCATTGCACTACAATACTATGCAACAAAGAAAAACCAAGCATTTTAGCTTAATACTTAAAAAAAATATACAAAAGCAAAATGGCCAACCTAATAGCAAACATAAATGTCTAGGCAGATAAATCAAATGGTAAAATATTTTAAAATCAAAAAGTAACTAAAATATACACAGCATTTATTACATAAATCTAAACTTACTATTAGACAATAACCAGTCATCATCAGGACTCATTTCTCTAAATGGAACAAGTGCAGGCATTCCTCTGCTTTGTGTGCGTTCCACAGCTTTAATAGCAGATAAGGAAGGTACCATAGTAGCAAGTGCAGCCATCTGAGGATTAACAGCTAAATATTTTAAAGTTTCTGTAAACAAAGTTGGAAGTGGAGTAATTTCTTCTTGAGAACGCAATTTCAAATCTGAAACAACTTGGTCCACTTTATTGCGCCAGGCATCTGGTGGATGGTTATGCTTATTGTTAGCTTTCTTTATACGGCTATACACAGTCACAGCTCTACCAGGGCACTGCCTGTCACGAGCACATCTCCAATAAACTGTTCCTTCTTTTCCATCCCGAACCTTATTGTAACGATGACCTTCATAGAGTAGAGCAATGCCACCTCTTTGTGTTGCAACATACTGGCATTCCATTCTATAAAGAACAAAAAACAAGTATATAATAAAAATTATTTTTTAATGGCTGAAAGAAATTAATTCATTAATCTTACATCAGCCCCTTCACATAAAATCAACAAAATTATTACTTCAAGAAAAATGCATTTGAACATCTGACATGCACATGGTTTTAAGAAAAATCAAGTTATGACTTCCTTACAATAATTTTCAACTGCTCGTTTCATAAAATATGCATGTCTTTTTTTTTTAATATAATGTAAAACAACAAGAAACAAACAATATAAACAATAAAAAATAACAAGAAAGTAGATCTAAATGAATTCGGTAAAAAAATTTAGTTTTTCAGATTGGAGCGAATGATGGCTTCAAAAGAAACACTCTGAAAGAAAAGAATATGGTAATTTAGTTGGCTAATTAAGTTTGGTGCAAGCAAACTAACATAGCCAGACATTTTCTTGCTCAAAACAAAGGCAACAGAACTAAAGGAACAGCAATATGTCCTTTAGTTCCTTTAGTCCTTTAGTTTAGGTGGCCGAATTTCTTCCAAAAAAAAAAAATTCCTCTGTTTTGAAAGGGTGCCATGGATAATTAATAAGAAAGGTCCAGCAGTCATACAAAATGGTATCCCAGAGAGTTAAGTTCTGTTGTTTAGATACAGTAAAAGCCCGATCCTGATACTGTTGGGACTATCTGCAGACATATCTAAGCTGGTTATCAAAACTCATTTGAATGGCACTTTACACTAAAGATGTAAGTTAGCCCCAAATTTAAAAAAATTCCACACTGATTGAATTAAATACTAATGCCATCAATATCAATAGTGTATACCAAGAAAGAGTCGACAATATATTAGGCACTGTGACCATCGATTCTGTATGAATTCAACTGGCTTCAGTTCACAATCATATGGTGATAAATGGAGCATCATATATCTAGGTTCAGGAGCTACAGATTGATACTATGCAATTCAAACTGCATTCGAGCTTTAAAAGTCAGGACTAAAAGTTCTGATTTCAACATATCAGCTTTCCAAGGAATATTTTTCCTGTCAACCAAAGTTGAATGTCTACTTTCCTTGTACTTGAACAAGGAATGTTTTCTGACAAAACACAGTGGTAAGACACATTACCTAATACAATTACTATTAGATTGCAAGTTAGGCAGTAATTTTTTTACAAACAAATTTTCATAATATTCTGCAATTATTCCTCAAGATTTCTTTTCTTCTTTTATTAAAAAAAATAGCTTTGAATATATCACGTGTTTAAGGTATAAATTTGCCCTCATTACCAGGATCAACAACTATGCATCATGAACCTTCTTCTGAGGGAGCAACTAAACCTGTCGAAAGGTCTGTCAAAAAAGCTTTTTATTGTTTTAGCCTGCCAAATTTTTATTTTAGAATGCCACAAACTTACCCAAGTTTCATCAGCATAGTAAAATGGCCTATCCTGTGCATAGTATTTTTTTATATCTCTTAGATATCTGTACCTCCAGCATTGAATATTTTTACTTTCAAACAAATCTGGCTGGTATTTCTGTTTTTGATATGATAACCATAAATCATTCATCATTCGTCCTACTGTAAAAATGGTCTTATTTGGGAAACCATCTTCATCAATTACAACTTTTCCTACTCTTTACACAGTAGGAGTTTCATACCGCAAAAAGAAATCATGAACTTTACATCAAATTTTTCCTTAAGTTAGCTTATTATATCATTTGATTTGGGTTTGCACACAGACTTTCAGAAGTTATGGTTTCCTCAGACAGGAAAATCCACTATTTTGTTTCAGTTTGTATTTCACGCGATTTATGCTTATCAGAGAAACATCAGTAAAATCAGCAGCTAAAGTAATGAATTCATTATCAGATTTATCATAAAAATGCTCTGGCAATTTGACAATAAAATTCATAATGATAATCTTAGAGAAACTGCATAGTGGCTTTCCAGCCTTATGAGCTTGGAAATTGCACACACATGTCGAAGCAGATGCCATAACAAATTCTTTCTTCTCTTAGTCACTGATTGAAAATATGCTTTAACTGCTTTTTCTCAGCAAACGTGGGGCGAGGTTAGGGTTGCTGGAATTTGCAGTTTCAGCAATAATGTTAAAAAAAAAAAAAAATAGATGCCTTTCTACTAGTCATCAAATGATTGATGCAATTAGCAAATTTTTAAATTAAGAAGATGGTTGAAATGTAATCAATTGTTTTGCAGATTTGTTTTTCGTTCGGTTCTCTTTCCTCAACAATATTTATATTTCATAATGTAATTTTTGCAATATGCAATATTACTTCTCACAATGGTAGAACTAGTATATTCTAAGTCGAACGCATACACTTTCTGCCACATTCAGTATTCTCAACTTAGTTCGACCAGGTACAAGCATAAATTTATATATATATACATACAGAATACAAAAATTTCACCGGCATTGTTTTTAAAAGTAGTACTCAGATTATGTGTCAGCAGAATTAATTGAACCTGCTTTGCATATGAAATAAAGCTTTATTTTGTAAACTTCTTTTTTGGCTTTAATTCTGAAAAAAATTGTAATGTAGAGCTGATCTAAAAGTTATCATTCCTAATTAATTACAAAATAATTACTTTTTATATATATTTTTCTTTTTTTAATTAACCTGCAAATACTTGCATATCACCTTAAATCAAGATACTCATCAGATATTTTTACTGAAATAACTTTTTCTATTAAAGTGATGTGAACATATGCCTTGCGAGTCAGAAATACACCTACACATTTGAAATAAATGCAGTATATAACTGCGTACTGCACAGTGACTATAAAAATCAAAATTAAAATGTTATAAAAAATGTTACATAAAACTTCTTTTTCATTTCGAAAAAGAGTAACGTGTCTCATCTTACATAATTACGTAAAATGTCTTTAGTATATTCATCAACCTGCATTAATAAGCTTCTGCAATATTAAAATAGCTAATACTACCAACTTATTCACATTCTCGTGCATCATTTTGATCTAAGTTACATTTGTAGGCAAGGGTGAGAGAATATTTGATGCACAGCCAGAATGAGTTTCAACTGCGTACACTAATGCAGTTGTGCAAAGTTTTTTTTTTTTTTTTTTTTGTTTTGTTTTTCTTTTGGTTGTTGTTAAGTGTTTTTTCCTAGTGTGTTCTGAAAATATGTGAAATTGATTTTGAGCACAGATGTCTGACAATACAGTGCAACAAAAATTTCTGCAGAGCTTCTGCAGGTCTATGAAGACAATGCTTTGTTGACAGCTAGGCTTTTAATGTGGCTTACGGCATTTTCAGACAGAAAGGAAATGACTGAAAATGAACCTCGCTAAACAGTCAGAATGAATGGAAAACTATTTAACTTGAATCACACTATCATTCACCAGTGTTTGATAAATGAATTCAGCACGAGGAAAAACTTGTGCGAAAATCCGCCTGAAAAACGTTGACAGGAATGAAAGAACAAGAGGAGGGACAAGTGTTTTGATTTTTTGGACTTGACTGAAAAATTATCTAATTTTCCAACACATCATTATTAGTGACGAGTCCTGGTTGTTCAAGAACAACACAGAAATGAAGCACCAAAGCAGGAACAGTACATTTCAAACTCATCAAAACTGAAAAAAGCAAGAATGAGCACAAGTCGAAGATCAAAGAGTCCACAAAGAGTTTGTACCTCCAGGCCAAACAGTAAACCAACACTTTTACACAGAAATTCTTGAAGACGTTTTGGTAAAAGTGTTGAAAAAGGGTCATACATTACAAGACCAGATAACTGCTGCAACATAACAATGTGCCTTGTCATACCACATTTTCAAGTAATGAGTTTTTGGCAAGTAAAAACATTCCTGGGATTCCTCAAATCCCTTATTTCTCTGACTTAAGTCCATGTGACTTTTTTTGCTTCTAAGATTAAAAATACACTTTAAATGGCATCATTTTGGTTCACTACAAAACATAAAATCAGTCATAACCGACCAGCTAGACATTTCCATTATCCAAATTCTAACACTGCTACGAAGAATGGGAAAATTATCTCCTACACAGCATATCTTCCCATAGTGATAACTTTGAAGGAGACAATGCAGCAGAATAGACATTAAGCAGGCTATGATTTATAAATCAAGGACTCTGTTAGTTGAGCCAGCTATCAGTTTAAAAAAGTCATTGGGAAAATATAATAATGGAAAAATTATTTGGAAATCAATCATATTTGTAAATTCTCTTATAAGTAATAGGTCATTTAATAACTTTCCAATAAAGTATTACCATAAAAGAGTGATCTACATGCATTAAAGATGGAGGAATCATTTTCCTCATTCCCACTAGATGGCAGCATTTGCCTAAGACTTCACAACTACATTCTGGGATTAAGAATGGAACGTAGAACTTTAATCAACCACTGGTTCCATAACTGGTCATCCTGTAAAAGTAACAACAGCACTGTCCTGCTCAAGATTTTCTACTCGAGGATTATACGTCATGTTCTCAACAACCGTTTTTCTTCACATAGTGAAAGTTTAGCAGTGCTTTCAACCAGCACCACATTATTCCTATTTGCGTTTCGTATTACGATCCAAATCAAAACTGCCTCACACATGTGACTTACAACACAGACTGCTACTGGGAATTTTGCCTATGAAATGGGTTAGAATTTTATTTTTTTAATCCCGGTAGGCTATGAATAATACTCATAATCAAATTTTCGTTACATGTGTCTATATCACTGAGTTCTTAATAATTACTTCTCTTGCATTTTTTTTTTTCATTTTATGGCAATCATTGTTTCTAAACACTATTATGTTGATTTTGCTTTGGTACCTGTCATATTTTCTTAACACCAGTCAAATTATTAGTATTATATGTGTGTTATTTATGTATCCTTATATTTTATTTAATACTGCATGCATGAACGGCTGGAAAACTAGAACAGCATTCACCCACTGGCCACATTAGCGATCACCGTATTATCCACACCTTCTTGGCTGACCCCAAATCCAAGTTGCAATTTC